GCCTTGGGTGGGGGGGGGGGGGTCTCTTCCTCAGCTTCCTCCTCTGAGATGTGTCCTTCCTCCCATAGGTCTTGTAAGTCCCTAAGTGCTCTGTAGTCTCTTCTAGAGAAGTCATTCCAGTCCCTAAGTAGGCCTCCCAGTGGTAAATCTGCTTTGTCATGTATTTGTTTAAGTAACAACTTACGTGCAAAGAGATTAACATCTTTAACAATCCCAAATCTGTCTGGTGGTGCCTCCGGACAGAAGGTTAATCCTTTGGAAATCAGATTCAGTTGTGTTTCAGTGAACGTATATGGGCTTAGATTAATAACCTGTAAACTATTTATTGAGGGCGTTTGAGAAGATATTGGTCTAGGATGGTCTTTTTTGTGTTTGTCATGTTTGGTTGAGTTCCCTGTACTGATTTTTCTTTTCTCTCTCCTGAGTGGGACGTCCCTTCCCTCGGGGCCGATGGGAGTCCCATCTCCCCTAAAAAAGGTTCATCCCGTTTACTTTTTTGTTGATGAGTCAATTTACATCTTGTGTCAGGCTCTGAATTATCAGAGAACTGCATGTGTCTTCCCTGTCTAACTCGGGTGTCTCTCCAGGCCATCCCCCCCCTATGCATCCTTTTTTGGGACCGTGCGTTATATTTCAACTGGCGGGACAATACATTTTCCTCAGAGGAGGATGGACAAGATTCGGTTCCCTCTGATTGGGCGTCCTCACCCTCTCCCCTATAGTTCTTATACGAATCCACTTTATTGGTAGTTTTATTCCTACTCCAACTCCTGTTTTTGTCCCCATTTGTAGGCCAAACCCACCGCATAGGCATTTCTATCCCTTTCAAATTTGGAATCCTTGACACTGACTAAATTTTCAAGTCCATATTGTGTCTGAACGTCTCGAAGTCAGTGCTCAAGGATTTCAGATTTTCATCAGCCGTTTTTAATTCCCCTGTATAGTGGTCGATTAACATGGTTAACATGTTGCGGCTACAGATGTTAAAATTATACTCCCACTGTTTTTTAAAATCCTCAGATACATTTTTAATATTCGGGAAAATCTGCGGTCTCAACCCCTGAGGGCAAATCTCACACTCCACATATCTTTCCAAATATATTTTATTCCAGTATAATCTGGATTTCTGCTCGTAAGCCTTTTTTAGTTTAAATTTAAAATCCCTAAAACTACGTTCACTGATTTTTTTATCATGATCTTCCCCTATATCCTTCTTGACCTTCATGATCATTGTTTCCCATTCAAACATAATGCTTAAATTTGATGCGTACTCCTTAAGTTTAAAGGACTCAAGTCCCTTTAGTTTTCCATTTTGCATGATTACCAAGTTTTCCACAGGTTTTTGTTAAAAGGGGGAATTTAGATGATTTTCATCACATTGGCCTGGTGTGAGATCCGTGAATGCATTCTGAAAAATCACACTATTATTTTTCAGGGCTAATTTTATTCCAACAGGAGAAGCTAGAGCGAGTGCTAACTTTGATTCAGGTATTAATGAACTGAGAATGTTTATAAAGACTAGAGAAAAGTTTTATGTAAAAGTGTAACTTCTCAGATGTCTGCATTCATATTCTTATCTGCTCTTGAGAAAGATAATTGGATTTTTTTTTCTCCAATTGGTTCTATACATCTGATTATGAAAAGGGAATATACCGATGTGTTAACCGGAATCTGGAGCAATCATGCAAATTACCCCTCAGGATCCCTCCAAGTTTATCAGTCCAGTACACGCTTGAAACAGCACCCGAAACGTATTGGCTTTGTATGATACAAAAGTGAAGAAAATTAAAGTGACACTGAACTCAGGAGTTAAATCTTAAAAATACATTCAAATACCTTTAACTATTAACAAAACTGTATCTTATTTGTGTATCACTTCTGGAGGGTGGCTACGTTTGTTCCTCATGGTCCCTGTGTGTGTTGTAAGGTAATCACCACTCCAAGCTCACTCCCATGATGCACTACAATCTCAATAAAAATTAGTAAACTAAACGTGGTATTGTAGTCTATCCCAGGAGTGAGCTGGAGCGGTGGATACATTACAACACACACAGGGACCATGGGGAACAAAAGTAGCCACCCTCCGGAAGAAGGATAGTGTCAGCACCAATTCAGAGATGGTTTGAGGATCTACAGCTGAGTGATACACAAATAAGATACAGTTTTGTTAATAGTTAGGGTACATAGATGTATTTTTAAGATTGAAGACCTGAATTTAGTGTAATTTTAAAGTTTTCACATTCTGCTTTTGGTGCTATCCTCCTTGCACATCCAGTCCCTACTCAAGCAAAGAGCTGATCCGCAAACCAAACACCATTCCTGGGGGGGGTTTGCTTAAGGAAAGTGATTCCATCCACACTGCCTAAGCTATGAGTGAAAACACCTACTGCTTAATGGATCCAGCGCCCAACACCTTTCTTCTAATGTAGTTCATGTAGTTCTCTGAGCCACTGATCTAGTAGAAGCATGCAGATCAGAAGTTCTGTCATTGGTGTGACTTCATTTGCTCCATGCGTCATCCAGGTTGGTAGCTTATTATGGGTTGAACTCAGAGAATTAGTATTACAGGCAGGCAACTAGCAATTGTATGAGAAAGCTCAGCAATGGCAACCTCCAGGTTTTCTTTAATGTTTTTCTCGTGTGTGTTTCTCATGTGGCCACAAGGTAGCAGCAAAGCATTACCCTATCTCTGTCTCAGCCACAACCACTGCTGTAATACTGGTACTATGTACATGAAACACTTATCATTTATTTTACATATTTATTTTTTAGATGCCAGATGTCCAACATTAGATCCTAATACAATGCATCCTAAGCTGAGACTCTCTGAAGACCTCCTTACCGTAAACGGTGCCTGGTTTGGGAAATTTAACTCCAGCCACCCTCCAAGGTTTGATAAACTCATGCAGATACTAAGCAGAGACTCTTACTTTTCTGGCACTCACTACTGGGAGGTAGATGTCCTTCAAGCAGTACAAGGATGGTGGATAGGCATCACTTACCCATCGATCCAGAGGAAAGGAGACTCTGAGTTGAGTCGCCTCGGGTGGACCAGTGGATCATGGTGCATTAAAAGATTTGATTGTGAGTACTGGGCGTTCCACAAAGGAGAAAGGAAAGCAATTCATCTTAACACCCCCCCAGAGAAAATTGGTGTTTTCCTAGACTATGAATCTGGAGTTCTCTCTTTCTTTGATGTTAGAGCAGGAATGAGGCACTTGCATACTTTTCGCTGCCGATTTACTGAACCTCTCTATCCTGCTCTACGGTTATGGGATGGATCAATCACAATCTGTAGGCTGACTTAACATTCCATACTCATTGTGGCCCTCTGTGTCGAATAATAATTTGATAGCTCAGAGCAAGTTTGTTGTTTTTGCTACCGATATTACAGGAATCTGCCAGTCTACAGTAGAATATGTTTAAAGCATTTCTTAACTTTATTGCCTCTGCCAAAGTATATAATCAAAGGGATAACTCATATGTATAAATACATAATAAATATACAGGGCTACACTATGGAGGATCGCTTTATTTTATTTTGAGAGTCATCCAGCCCTGCATTGGAAGAGTGCATGAGAATATGAGGAAACCAACAGAGGAGGCAGAGTCCCGGGGAAAGCCGATGGTTGCATAAGAGCTCTCTATGACCTTTGGTGTATAAACCTAGACCCATCTTAAAAGGCGAGGGTACACCTGAAGAGCACTGAGGTGGAAGAGTTTATCTAAATATGATCTGCACTGGATATCTTTCACCGTTTTGGGACTATTTGATTGCAGAAAAGTTGATGAAGACTGTTTATAATTGCACAGGATATTATTCACTAGTGTGGGATTATGTGTTCACTAAACAGCTGGCAAAGATTTGGTGCACTTAGCAAAAAATTACAAGTGCCTGTTACCCACATAAACCATATTTTTTTGTAATTTTATGCATAATATGATGCACATTAAAGGAGAGTTATGAGGCGAGTGATTTTCACTCAGCCTCATAATCTGAGCCGACCTGTGACAATGAAACTGTCACAGGTCGGATCAGTAGATCGGGAAGTGAGCGAACACATACCGTCATTTGCTCACTTCTCGATCTATCCGTTCAGAGAGCCGTGACTGTCACTCACGGCTCCCAGCAGGGATTCCCCCCCCCACCACTCCACTGTCTGATCCTCCAGCACTGACTGGCAGGACGGACGGGGGAGGGGCGGGTACAGCTGGCTCTGCCTCTAGATAGGCAGAACCAGCTGTCACTCACGCAGCTGGGTGGATCCAGACAGCATTGTCAGGATCCGTCCCGGCTGCGGCGTCTCAGTATACTGCGAGTTGTAGCTCGCGGTATACTGAGCTTAGGGTGACGGGAGGACGCTAGTTTGTGTCCTTCCGTTACTCTAAGGAGAACTATGGGGAAAAGCCTTGACCCCATAGTTCTCCTTTTAAGCTTGTGTTTTGATCATAATTCTTGATGTGTTTCCAGTGTTTTACATACTTTATTGATTTGATTGCTGCACATAATTTATATTGATTTTTTGATTGTGTTGGTGGTTGCACATTTGTGTGAGCCACTGGAAATTAGTCATTTTTGGGATTATCACACTACCATGATCATTATTTTTTCTTAAGAGTAGTGCAGGAATTGTACAATTTTTTTTCATATGTATAGTTACATTCGTATTTTAAATGAATTATAGTTCTTTATAAGCTTAAATACAAAATTTAAGATCTGCCTACCATTATGTGATAAAGACTTTGTGCGTTTACAAATAAAATGTACTCCAATTATGTAAAAATGTTGCAAATTATATTTTTCATTACAATTTAGTACTATCTATTCAAAGTGAATATTAGAAGCTACTTAATAATGTCTTTATAGTTATTTGTTAAGCAGTCTTATGTTGTTATGTATTATGAAGACTCCAATTAGAGATGCTTGCACTTGTGGCTCCATAGAGAATAAACAAAGCTTCATCTGCATATCTGTTTATTCACCACATTTACAATAACAACCCAGTTTTTTATCAAGCTAGCTTTTCATAGCTTTATGTAAAAAAATAGAATGCAGATGATTTTCATCGTATTGGCCTGTTGTGAGACTTGTGACCTTTCTAAATGTATTCCAACAGGAAAAGCTAAAGTAAGTGGTAACTTTGTTTGAGGTATTAATGAACTGCTTATAATGACTACTAGAGCAAAACGTTTTGTAAAATTGTAACCTGTCGGGTGTCTCTAATCATATTCAGATCTGTTCCTCTTGAGAAGGATAATTGGAATCTTTTGCTTGTGGTTCTGTACATCTGATCATGGAGAGGAAATATCAATTTGTTTATAAATAAAGTACATTTAAATAAAATTAAAAATATTTAAATGTTTTTTAAGGAGCAGAGAAACTGTCCCATTTCAATGCCATTACAATGCTGGCTCAGCATATGTGGAATTCATTTTAATACACTGAATAATCAAATGTATCATTAGCCTTATTTTTGGATAGAATGGGTAAGGGTTAGAACCTCTTTTACTGCTGTGTACCCAGATTCACTGGGAGATTGATTCTCTCTATATGCCACGGTGACTACTGTTACTGGGAAAATCCATAATTTTACCACTCACACAGGTTATGGGGGAATAATTCAATCGGGTCACCTGTTCCAGAGAAAACTGTCAAAAGCTGACCATACACTAATATGAAACATAGGGGTCTATTCACAAAGCTGCCGAAGGATCTGGCCGTAGCTTCGGCCGATCCTTCGGCTAGCTTCGGCACCAGGACCCCTTCGGTTCAGGAGAACCGAGGGGGTGCTGTACGGCTATTCACAATAGCCCGTACAGCTCCCGATCACGGCCGAGCAGCTCAGTCGAGCGCTGAGCCGTGCTGAAAGACGAAGCTGGCCGAGCGGCCGGCCGACAGCCTGCTTCTGACAGCTGGGCGGAGCCAG